ATCATCCATAATGTAAAACTCACAATCCCTAGCAACACTGTAATATACATCTTTCTACAGAACTAAAACATTTTACACAGAACTTTAAAAATCTCTGAATTATTCTACAGTTATGAAAACATTCACTTACTTGTCCTCTGCCAGGATTTTCCTTTGGAACAAGCAGAGACACCACTGGTCCATATTTCTGACACTCCTCTTTGACATCTTCTACAACATCTGATTATAAAAACACATAACAGTAACTTTGATGTAATTAACAAGCAATCATTATCTAAATTTTCTAAACGGGCAAAGAATTCAGGAACACATATAAGTAATGAGGTCATTTTCTATGTCTTCTAAAATTAAGCTTAAGGTAAGAATCATATAAATTCAATGTATTTAATAATTTCTTTTTGAAATTTAGATTTGATTTTTTGAATAGGTAATGCATTCAAATGGTTCAAAATTCAAAAAAATAAAGTATTTCTCCCACCTCTACCACCCAACTGCCATTCCATTCTCCTCTTTAAAGGCAACAACACTACCAGCTTCTTGTGTATCATTCCATAAATATTACAGTAAAACCTGCAAAAGCTGGAAGCTGTGTAAGGTGGAAACCTATTAGAGAAGGAAAATTCAAATATTTTCCACTAAAATGAGCAACAGAAAAGTGGCAAGACAGCACCATCAAAGGTGGAAAACTTGCGAGACCCAGAAAAACAAGGCAGTCCCGTCGAGTTCCAGCTCTCACAGGTTTCACTGTATAAGCTTACGTAGGCCAATATTATCATATAAGCTTTTGTAGATAAATTCCAATCTTACTTTTTCTTTATTAACACTGTATCTTTAAGAGCTTTCCACATTATTACATGCAATATTCTCATTTGTTTTTATGCTTAGTATTTCGCTAAATGAGCGTTTGATAAATTATCTAATATGTCCCCTGCTGATGAATAATTAAGCTATTTTAAAACTTTCTGCCACTATAAACAATACTGCAATAAACTTGTACATATGTATAGGTGTGCTTTAAGTTTAATTTCTAGAAATGGAATTGCTGGGTCCAAGTTAATTCAGATTGGTAATTTTGTTATAATTAACAATTTGCATTTCGTAAAGATTTACCAATTTAAAGTCTTTCAGTGAAGTACGTCTGTTTTCCAGTACCTTTACCCACAAGAAGGTTATCAAATATTTTGATCACTGTCAATGTAATCAGTAAAAAAAGTATCACAGAATGGCCTGAATTAGCATTTCAATAATAAGTAAGACTGAATATAGGCCATACTTTTATACTTGTGAGATGCATTTGTACTTCCTTTCCTATAAACTGTCTATTCGTATCTGCAGTGCCATTATTACTTTTGTGTGTGGCCTTTCTAGCCGTGGTCTTGTGACTCCCACCCATGTGATTTAGCGAGGCTGTGTAAACAAGATAATTGTGGCCCACCAAGGGGACTGGTCAGTTTTGCCTTACAAGAGAGCCAATTCAGGGCACAGAGGAGAGCCCACCACCACCACCAAAGAAGGAGAAACCCGCAGCAGAGACCTGCAGCAGAGGCCAGCAGCAAAGACCCGCAGGAGATGGCACAGTGGGCTTCGCAGCCTTGGAGCAAGAAAGCTGAGTGCCTTTGGGTAGAGACTGAGGGCAAGGGAGAAGTCTAGGCCTGACCCACAAATTTGCGACTTGCCAGCCTCCACAACCGCATGAGCCATTTCCTCTATATGGTTCATGAGTTCTGGGAGACGTGGCAAATCAGGGAAACCAAAGCCAGGAGGGAGAGTACTCAGGTGAGAGGGAGTAGTTGATGTTAGAGGTGATGGAGTGGTACAGCAGCTTGGAAAAGTTAGACATTTGCAACATCTTTAACCTCTGCCTCATAGGAACCAGCTTTGGGCTGATCCTTACAAAATAAATTATTCATTTAATATCCTTTACCTATAATTTACTAGGTTGATTTGTAGGGCTCTGTCTCTGATAAGAATTGTGAATATTTTTTCCTATACTGTCATTTGTCTTTTAGCTTTTCTTATGGTGGTTTTGTCAGGGTAGAATTTGTTGAACTAT